ATTGTGATAGCAAAACCGATGCTATAGAACCGAACTTGCATGACTTGTCGAGGCTATACTTGAAGTTTTTAAAAATGCATTCTTTAAAAAACAGCTTTTGGGGACTTTCTCTAATTTTTTTTGTTGTTTTCTGGCGTGTAATTCAAAATAACTATCAAACTTTAAATATTTGATTGATTGAAGTTAAAAATATCTAAGCCTTCGTGGGAGACGGTGTGCGGGTCAGCCTGTCTTTGTGCTGCGCTGTTATTATTGAGAGCAAGGACGTTTTAATGAAGACGGGTCTGCATGCGAATTATCTCTACATTTTTGGGACTAGACATATCCATACCAAGAGCATATATTGATCATGCAGCGGATATCGAGGCCACGAAACCCCTAGAGTGTTTTAGGCGATGTGTCAACATTCGGCAATATATACAAGTTTGGGAGACATTTTAGACATTATAATTGTCATATCAAGCTGTAAAGACGCTTTCTAAATGCAGCTAGTACACATGCAAGAAGCGTCTGACTGATGAAGCTTAGCTCGTAATCATCTCACGGGGCTGCTAAGACAATTTAGGTACCTTTCGGCTTAGCATGTAGGATGGCGACGCGCGCCACGACGTCGTTGTGCACAAGACACAAAAATCTGAAATTTGTGATAAGCAGAACGTTGACTACGTCTAAAATTGCTATTCGTATTTTATCAATGAACTTATCGTATATCGTTTACCGCCGTCTTCGTGTTCCCGTCTTATACATCCGTGGAACATAATTGCGGACAGTTCATTGCATGATTTATGTACAAATTTTGCGTACAAATTCTGCACTGATATTGTTGATAACCGTCTTAGATTATAGGCGCAGCGAAACAATTACATTTCATCTCGAATACCGTTGGAATTTTCACTTATAATTTTATACTTAGTAATATCTAAGAACCTCAAGAGGGGACTTAACGGAAAGTCGGAAACCCATTTGATTGAGATATATAGAAATTCCAGAGAGAATAAATTAGATAATCAATTGATGACTTTTGTGATGAGAGACGTTTTATGTTTGTTAAATTCTGCCAAGACCGTTTTTCGCTTGTAAACTCCTATCGTCTATGGCTCATTTCTGTACAGTAGCGAACCGTACAACATACTCTTTTGTTTCAAAGAAATTGGATCTAGCCCAGTTCACAGGACTGATGCTACACGCTGCGTTTAAAGTGGAAAACAGCTAGAACATTTCTAACTTTATATTGTATAAACGGTGACGTCTCCCCCCGTCATGGCTAAAACTTCTTCCTGTTAAAGTCCAAACAAGACGGGCATACTCATTATGCAGATACAATAGTATTTCAATGTGCCTAGTTAAATGTGGCTGTTGTTGATTCTGTTGTTTTTAAATAGTGGAACGAAAAAATTCGGTAGAGCAAGAGCATTCATGATTAATTCACCAACCCTGTATTTTTTTTTACGCATGCCTGACCTTTGCTCCATATAAGATTTTTCGATTTTGTTACGAACGTAAGCAGGGACGTCAATGCGTTATGCCCATATGTTCTTCACGCATTTAATCACTCGACAGTCACAATGAGAGTTTACTGGCGTAAAATTGGATTACAACGTACTCATGCAACTGCTGATTGCGGCTTTTTGTAAATAAACTAATGCCACTGCTGATTTGCTGCTTCATCGTAAATGACTAGGGACACTAGTACTGAGTAGCTTTCGCAAAAATTTCAGCCGATCCGTTAGTTAATTTTAAAAGCTGTTTTTACGCGTCAACACTCGTATCTTGAGCTTATTCGTAACTGACAATGCAATTCACTTTCAGAGCCACCCTTGCTTTAAATAGAATGGACAAATTTATCAGTGCGTGTTTATACCATTACGATAAAATTTGTTGTATTAGAGTCACTGATGAGTCAATTACTAATGACATGAACGTGATGGGCGGGTGCGGTCCATCTATTTCAGCAATCCGTTAGCTTTTCTTCCACTTGACTCATTATATCACGCTGCAACTGAAAGAGTAATTAGATAAGATTGATGCTCTCCGAGGAAAGATGCATTTTTAATTAATTTATGTTGTGTGCCTCAATCATGTCCCCTGTGTATTGTGGATATAAAAATAAACGCTTCAATCGATCAACAGTTGTGTTTACAGCAAGCAATGGAATTCAAACTAGATTTTTCCCGAGATTAGCGATGTTTTTAATATTTCATACACTTGTGACAAAATTGTTTTTCGTATGTACACTCAAAGAACCCCGCTGGCGAAAGATAATGACATGCAGAGACAGGCAATAAAGGATGGCCTAGTTCATTCCAGAAAGGCAACATTCCCTGGTATGATAATGTGCAGTTCTGCAACTCATTTAATTAATCAATTAATAAGATTGTTGAAAACTAGTTCATCATGCTATTCATGTCTTGAGTATAGTCAACACTATAGGCTAGTCAGAATCGATGCAGGCAAAACATTATCGCATTGCCTCAGGAGGGATTTAACTTATTTATCTAAACAAGACAACGCTGTCTAATGTAGGTTAAAGAGTGCAGCATGTAGATAGTCTAATTAAATCTAAAGGCCCAAACAGACAGGACGCGATTTGGCAACGCGCCGCAGTTTTTCCGAAGTTTTTTATTTTCTAAAAGCAAATAAATATTAGCCTATCACAGGGGTTCCAGCACTAGTGCACAAATTTGCATTACAAAAACAAATGGTTATTTTTAGCAGTTTTCTTGTGTCATGCAAATTAGTGCACTAGTGCTGGATCCACCCATGGCCTATCATAATATTCTTGTAGATTACGTAACGATAATACGTTATGACTGCTCTGGCGTCTGTAGATTCCAAATTTTGCTTCCAGAATTTCATTTATATGCTTCTGAAACCTGAAAATTCGTGTGGGTTTTTAATGCTGTCTAACGGAGTTGAATTCATGCCATAAGGGCATTCAATGAAACCTAACCATTCCAATGCACCTTACGTCCAGGTTAATCCAAATTTACTATGCACTGCTACCCCTCTCGGATTTTAAAAATACCCTATTCTGGCCTACTTGCATCATCGACGGAATTATTATTAATCGAAAGGTAATGTTGCGTCATATCATGAAATCAACCAAAAGCCCCATAGTTAAAAAAATTCCGAGTATACCAGCACATGGTCTCCAAGGTAGCCACTTGAAGGCCACTGTGAAGTCTTGATGAATGTTCACCATTTTGATAACATGGATGTCTTGCTCATACAGTTAAAAAACCGACTGTTTTCGGTCGTTTTATTTATCAAGGTGTTTAAATGCAATGGTTCGAGGAGTGTATAGCTGCATGATAGCTCGAGAGAGTATTTTTAATCCTTTGTGATGATAAGAGTGTGAATACGGGCATAGGAACATTGAGCGATTGAGTTAATTTAAATCAGCTAGCTAACCTTCAAGTCGCACGTTTTAGTTTTACATAAAATTCATAAACAACTTCACAAAACTTTCAACGGTCTCTTTATAGCAAAATGGGCAACAACAACTCCTAATAAGGTAAAAACACTCGTTTACAAACTTTTTACGAACCATTACGAATTTCCATTATTTCATGCGAAACTTGTGATTTTCATTAAATTCGTACCACGCTAGCGACATCGTGTTTTTTAATATATTATTTTCAAATTTCCAACAACATGGTCGCTACACCTTGCCTGAAAATCAATGTAATGATGCGCGCAAAACAAGAATAAATGAAGAGCGTGTCCCTAAGTGATAGCGCGATATGATTAAAAGCGTTTCAAACCAATTGCTTTAACAAGCTGAATTGAGATGATGATTGAATAATTTTAGTTATGCATATTCAGAATAGTCTTAGGTATTACTTCAACTCTACTCTGAGAAAATGCGTCATATTTCTGCCCAAGCAGCACGGGGCTTTCAAGTGATGATAAAACGCCCTGCAACATGAGAAGCCAAGTGCATTTCCTTAATGCGCACTAAGGTGCAATACGCTGCAATGTCAGTTTGTGAACGATGATATATTGAGCGACAATGATATACGTGTAATTGATACTTTCGATCCGTAACTGATTGATAATGCGTTAAAATAGCGAGTTTAGGGGAGCTATTAAACTCCTCCCTTCTATATTCGTCTTTTCAAAGATTTTCAAGACTCAAGTTGAACATATATATTGGCAGGAGAACGTCAAGCTTCCGTGGTCAAAACCGTCAAGAGCGAAAAAACGCCTGGAATGCCCTTTCTTATTTGCTCCAGTGTTTCAATCAAATATGTTAAAATTATGTAGGACTTATTGGAAAGATCATTAGATCAACTATATAATTATTGGCCCAAATTTGTCCGCTTTCTTTTGAGATTTTTCTTTATATGTCAAAGCTTGTTGCCACAACCTGTTTATACACAATATATAAGTAATTCTTTTTCTGCGGATTGCATTTGTGACTATTACTAGCTATCGCAGATGCATTTTTTTCTATTCGTAACGTAAGTGTAGTGGTCGTCGATGAATGGTAATTATCATATTACGCGATATCCTATTAGCACGTGGGCTTTCATCTTTCAAAAAGGAAATAAACAATTTCGCCTAATAATAAACATTTTTAATAACCCGCAAATAAAGGATCTCTCGTTTGATATCGCGCGTAAACCTCTCAACCTCTTTGTGAAGGGCTGTATATCGATCGAATAAATGCGTGCCAAATCCAATTCCAGGTCAGCTGTTATAGATATATTACGCGCGTTAATCAATGTATTCCATGTGTAGGCGCTGACGTCCCCGACGTGACCTTAAAGGCGAATATTTAGGCTCTGAAATTTAATATTGAGTAAATGATATTTAGCACAATAAAACTCCATCGCCCGTTACCTTGAGTGTTCACAACTGACATTCTTACTCAGCCGATTCATTCGAAATATCGCGAGGGAACACACGGTACCGCAAATATTCGAAATCATGAAAGCGAATGTTCTTTGGATACTATTAGTTTTCTTTTTGTCTCGTCACGCGATTTATATAGGCGGTGATATCCACAGTATGCTTCGTCAACTAGATATTGAGGAAAATGACCCAGATATCACGCAATCCGAGAAGAAAAAGTTGGACGAATATCGTAGGACGGTGATCAAACAAGAGATCTTGAAAATGCTTGGTCTCGAGAGCCCTCCGAATGCTTCAAACATTCCGAAAATACCAAAAGAAATGATAAAAAGTGTCCTGCATCAAACGAGACACCACAGGAAAGGTGGCCGTAAAAATCTAGACGTCGCTGGCAAACAAATGATTGTTATAGCGGAGCCAGGTATGATAATTATCCCTCTTCATCTAATCTCGTATTTACAAACAACTGCTGACGACAATTACACTTAGCCTGAGCTGGATTAATAGGACAATTTTTGTGTTCCTTGATGATCCATTTTTGACATAGGTCCGTTTTATCATACAATAACGTTTTTGATGGTTTGAAGAATCCAATTTAGAAAAATCCGAACGATAAACGTTAGAATTAGATGCAACTCGCAACGTTTCAAGCTCAGCCTTAAATAATCTAATATTCCTACCTATCCATAAAAAGATTACCATGAAACTGGGGGAAGTGCGCACAAGTTATAAATTTGAATCTATTTTCTTCATTTGTTATAACATTTGGGGAATGTATATTGCCAAGCAATGTCATTTAGAAACCATGTTATGGTTGTATTGCAAACTAAGGGTAATTATACCTTTCGGCCAATCGTAGCAATCAGTGGTCATTACCAGACCTGCATAATCACCATGACGCGTTTTGAGGTGCAATAACTCACACATGTGAATGACCAGGTTGCAGCAGGTCGGCACTTGAGGATAAGAAATAGGTTTAGACATGGTGTTTTGAATGATTTGCCAAATAATGCTGGCGTTTAACAATATGATGCCTCTCATGTAAGTCGACGCCTGTTCTCTCGATCCTATTTGCGAATTGGCACTGGAAAAGCAGAATTCACTAAATCGATAAAAAATGGCACCGACTGAGGGCGTTGTCTTACTTGTTTATAATTAAATAAACTCTCCTTATAAAAGACTTTATAATATTGCGTCAAAGTTAGTTCGAAATACATTGAAGGCTTCAGCGATTTTGTCATCCTGTTCTTATACCTAACATACACATCTCTAACAAGTGAAATCTAGCACCCTCAAATGAATGTTTCATGCGATTCTCTCTTTTGAAGAAGATAAGAGAGAATATTATACTCAAATGTTTCTAAGGAATGGAAGCGATCCAACTCTACAGGCGACCGCTATGCTTTATATAATAATTATCTAATTGTCTGGAACGCGATCGACGTTTCCTATTCAATTTTTGGCATATCAAAGGTTTCTGTCAGCAAGCATTTTTATCCATCACTGATCAAATATATATATTGACATAGCTGCGGACAGAACATTTCATTCGCATTTGATTGGGTGGAAGGCATGTTTATGGTCCCTTTATGCTTTTGATTGCATTATATTGCCCACGCACTTAAAATCTGGGAGCTAATAGTTACCCATTTTAGGCAACCTAAAGACTGGATATGCAGAATGTGCCAAATCCTTGCTCATCAAGTTTATATACAGCATGTGACTTAAGCCACTTGACATACTCAGAACTATATGTTCCTAAAATTCCTTATGATATTGGAATTGTGGCATTGCTTTATATGGCAAAACGCGTTTTATCATGCACTTGCCAATTGTGCTTTCTTCAGGATATGTGGTATATATGGTACATTTAAACTACACGATTAACACGCAATAGCCTATATAAATATTAAAACTTACACCTTCACAAACATTTGTATAATCTAAGATAAATACTAATGTGCGAGTTAAGTTAAATCCAAACCAAATGACATGGAATTTAAAGAACACAGAACTTAAATGAACCACTTTCTTTATGCCTGTTCCACAAAGAACGCCAAAACCGATTGCAAGTTCAGTCTGCGTGCAAGCAGTCCGGTAAAAAGTATAGATCTGTTTTATTTTCTATCTGGTGTCGAGAACAAACTATCGCATGTCATTTTTAGGGAATTATTTTATATCATTATGTACTCACTGAACTTTCCAAATCAGTTCTATAAAGGTTTTCGACGAATGCTGGCTATATTTTTAAGAGAATGCCATGAGGCAAAATGGGGCAATGAATGCTCACATGGGGACTCCAACTGGATAATTCCTTATATTGCATCTAATACAATAAAAACGTGCGATAACTAAAAGCTTCAATGAGGAACCTGCATGAAATCGGGCCTTTAAGCAACATATCATATATCAGTACACAACATGCATGCAAAAACATTCAATAACTGACTATCTTTCAGTTAACAGTACTTTTGAGATTGCCTTTTTACCATTACCATATTACCAGAAATGACTGACGAAGTTTCCGTCACTTGTGTTATCAATTAATCATAAATTTGCATTTCATCCATATAATGGCCTTCCTGTTTTTATATGAATACATTGAGCATTGAAATAAAAAAGCGTAAATTGTAGCAACCACCAACTTTGAGCACTGTTTGCCGATCCTTAGATCCCCATAGATCAACGTTTTTGTAACGAATTTAGTAGCTTTATTTGGTGTTTGAAATCAGAAAATGTAATACAACGTCTTCTGGTCAACGGTAGCTAGATAAAAACACTTTGAGTAAGGGAAGATGACGGTTAATGCAGCCTCATAGCATCAACAGTGGAATTTCCGAGTATATCACCAAGGAGTGCAATCTATTCAGAGAAACAGTATATGCACTGTGACTCTAGTTATCAATAAAATCGCAAACATTCATTAAAAACAAAATATTTGCGAAGAAAATAAGAAATTTTTGTAATGTGATTTTATACTGAATAGACTACCAAGGCAAGCGGTGTACACCCTAGGGGAGATACGCCTTGCCGACGATAGTAAAAACTTTCACATGTTGGGCTTGGTGCCTTATCTAAAAGATCGACAGGTAATGGAGTGCACGCAATATGAGAAAGGTGGTCAATGGCCAACAGCAATTTGCTCGAATTTGAAAATCAACAAGAAGCAATGCCCAAACCACAAACTATCAGTTTCAGCATGGAATGTATTGATAAAGTCGTTTAGTTTGACAAAAATAAACCGGCTATAGGAGAAGAATTACTCCTAGCCAAAAAGACCCAAATTTATTCTAAATCGGCGTAAAGTTTAATGTGTCATTATTGATGCTCATGCATTGGTCAGAAAACTGAGTTGCGGAAGGAGTATGCAAAATTCATGGCTGGCAATATATGCCTTTTTCTTATTTATAAATTATAATGCTGCATGGGTTTCAAACGAGTTGGACTTCATTGCAACAAATCATTGTTATAATGACAAAAGCGATGTTGCCGGCGGATGTTATATATATTCATGTGCATTCTGTCAGAGTTCTTTAATGACCTTAAGCATGTAGGACGGCAACATGCATGACGACGACGTGGTTGGAATACTCCTTTAAATTAATGTTATGGTAAAACGTCGTTTTATATTATCAATTGTACCAATTTAATGAGATGTGAGAATGAGAGAAGACGTTGAAAACATTGTTTTTACGTTTAGGAACAATTCTATAGAGCCTAATTCGAGGTAGTGCTCACTAGCTGGGTCGACCTGAAATGTAGACGTTCCACATAGGACGTAATAAACGACGTTTTGCCGTTGTAAACAGAACGTAGATCACGTCTAAAACTTCCATAGGTATTTAATAATTCATTTCTTTTCAATGAAGAATTGTATTGATAGCTGCCGTCGTCGTGTTCCCGTCCTACATGCTTAAGGTCCCTATTGATAAAATTTCAAAACTCGAAGCGGCGGCGAAGTGAAACAATGCAATGTATTCCATGCATTGTTTTACCGAAGTTTGGTTATCTCAATGTTGTCATTTTGAGAGCAGGTCAACTGAATTTGTGATGATTGTCTCAGTTAATCCTGCTTGTTTTGTTTCAAGTACTCAAAACTTCGATTTCCTGGTGTCGTTCAAGTAATTTCGTGCGCTGAGATGAGAGGATTTAGTGTGCAAGTTACGAGAATAAGAAAAAGACTGAAAATGCGATGATTCAACCGCCCTAGCTAACCGCCAAAGCGAGTCTGAAAAATCAGTTTTGACTTTGGGAAACCTTAATAAGAGAAAATATAAAAACTGACTAAGGCTGTTTTGGTCCACCGTATATTTACACCCAATGTTTATAGTCTGATCTGACGATCAAATCTCGTGATGCTGCACCTATTCTCGTGCACAACGACGTTATAGACCTATTAAATTTGCTAACAACAATTGTCTTAACAAGTAAAATAAGCAGAGGATGCGGAAGATTCCTAAGTGAGGGGGGCAAATATTTATATATTCGCGTTGTGTATAATTAGTTTATTTTTAAATGGATTGTATTTATTTTACGGTCTTTTAATATGTATATATGAATATTATATCAAATATTAGCCCCCCCCCTCCCTTACGGAACTTTCGGGGTCCCTGAATTATCTATCTGATCGCCTAATATAACAATTCGGCCTTTTTTCATATTTTACCTGAATTTAACTTAATCCTATATATTCATATATTCATGCATATCAACATTAGGTCACCCAATATGAAGTGGTACTTAAAGTAAAATTAGATTAATGCTAATAAATCAGTCAGTGTCAATTTTCCCGTAGCTTATATTGTTACATTTATAAGGCCATCAGGCATGCCCAGCATGCAAATGAAAAGTCATACAAGAGAGCACAAGAAACAAAAAAAAAACATGCTAAGAAATCATCTTAGGTTGGAGTTAAGTACGTCGGCTCGAGTCCAAAAGCATGGATGTGCGTTGACGCGGAATTGCATGGAGAAGTATGTTGTTTATAGTCTTTATAGATGTTTTGAATATTTTGCTTATCCGGTTAAAGAAGGTTGTTAAAAGACGAATTAGCATTTTCAACACTGTCAAAATTGCATCGAAATACTGATCGCCATTACCCTTTCCGGAATTATTTCAACGAGACGAGTCGAGCGCAATGGCGAAAAATAAACGATCAAAAACAAAGTACAAAGCGAACAATGCAGCTATATGAATTTCAATACAGCTATATGAATTGGTGCAATACTTGCATACTTTCCTGAAACTCTAATCTATCAATAAATCCTGCTTAAAAAAATCATAAAAATGTTCAATTTAGTGTGATTCTACTCTGCATTTCTGCAGCATTGAATTGGGCTAAAATACATGTTCAAATATTCCCTAGAATTCTCGCTGAACTTGAAAGATTCAGAACCGCAATCATTTCGCTTCAATGCAAACGTGAAACATAATTCAGTTTCATCTGTAATATTGGTCCTTCGACGTAACCCACAGATCCTAACGAAGAGGATATTGAAGAAACATCGTTTGTTTATCGCACGAATACTCGGTTATCCTAACAAACTATCCCGCCTAATCGGACATCCAAAAATTAAGGAAACTAACAAAAACTGGATCAATTTGGACATCACTTCAATCTTGAAATCAAAAGGTATCCATGGCATGATAAGGAATATCTCCATCGAAATTATATGCGAAGAATGTGGTGGCGAAAACGGTTTTGTGAATTCCAAGAAACGTCGTCCGTTTCTAATTTTTAACGTTGGCAAAGTCACGAAAACCCGAAAGAGGCGCTCTGTAGCAAATTGCAGCCAAACTGATTGCTGCATAGTTGATTATAACATCAGCACTAAATTGCTTGGTTTTGACTTTGTGGTAGCACCTAATGTATTTCAATTGAACTTCTGCAAAGGAAATTGTATTACTCCACCTTTGATTTTGGCGTTCCATGATCGGATTGGGTTGGTGAAAAATCCAACAAAGAAGATGGTTAAAAAGTCAAACTGCTGCATGATCTCAAAATTTAAAACGTTATCAATACTCATCGATGGTGGCAACAATTCAATTATAAAAAAGGATATACCGAATGTGACGGCGACGCACTGTACGTGCTCATAACGTTTGCTGCAGTGCACGGTTTTTCTCAGTATTATATAGCAACATTATCTACGTGTATTTGACATCGTAAAGTCTATGACGATTGCTAACAATTGGTAAGAATGGTGGATAATTTATTTTTAGCCCGTAAAACTGACAAACAGTTTTAAAACTACATGTGTATAATATGAGAAGTAAACTTTAGTGAACGCACTGCATGTTTAGTTTAGAGAAAGATTAAGACTGTTTCAGATTTAAAAAATGACTTTTAGGTCAGTCAAATCATATCCCTGTTGCACTGCTCCACTTCCTTCAAACTTCGGACTAGCATGAATTTATTTTTGGAGTTTTAATATAATCATCATGTAAATCACTGTTAATCGGTTTTAAACTAATTAAAAAATCCAATATTCATATAGGATATTTACTTTCTTTTAAATTATTTTGATATTATCATTAGTCCAAAATATTTCACCGACAGTCGGTGATGTGTGTAGGTCAGTGCATGCATGGCCATGCAGTTATTCAAAATGATAGGGTATATACTTCATTCGTCAGCGATTAATCGGAACAGCCAATGATTGTCATATACATAGGGCTTGTTCACACTTGTTCACGAGATAAATATTTTGGGAAACACAGATCAATTTTGCGCGCCTTTACAATAAAATTACACAATTTGCGCAGTGAGCTGGTTTTCTTTACATTTGCGTGATTCTGCTGGAGAATTGACACTATAATTTATTAACATTGTGTGAATCTTTCCGCGTTTCTTCGTAGTTTTGGGACTCATTAATTTCTATGCACTTTGGTGGGTCCTCAACTTTGATATAATCGACGATTTCGTTTAGTTACACTTGATGTAAGATTTTAGATTAAGCTTCAATAATACCTTTTCTTCTGAATCCGTCTTTACCTCGAACTCTCACCAGCTTACCAGCCTTAAAGTGTAATTGTAAACTCTTTGCTGTACGATTATGGTACTTTGCCTGATCTCTGTATATACGATATACATAGGGCTGTATGATGTTGTAAACGTTTCTTAACAACTGTCGTTTCAATTATATTGGTTGAGGTTGTAAATGTTTCTCTGTGGCAAGTAACTTTGTTTTAATTCATCGCGCCATAAGTCTCCGTGCAGGATTTACAAGAACTTAATCTTTTAGCATGCTATAGAAAACCATTCCCACAACACAAGGTCGTGTAACAACCTTCATCTTCCGAAAGTCAACACTAACTGGGGTAAACATAAACCTACGTACCAAGCTTCGAAAGAGTTCAACGATTTGAACGATTCCATCAGAAACTCTTTCTCTCTGAGTCATTTTAAGTCGTCCCTGAAGTGACATTGACTAACACACTACATATATAAATATTGTTAATTGCATGTCTCAATATATTTTTGTTTGTCTATGTCCATGTCCACGTCGTTGTCCTTGTCCCTTTCAATGTATCTGTATGTCTATGCCCTTGATTATTAGAAAACGTAGAACATTTATTTTTATATGTTGCTATGTGGTATTTTAAAATTGCTATGAATTTTATATATGATAGAAGTTATGTTTAAATTATTATATTAGCAATATGATTTTATCATGCAGGACCCCATATGCACTGAAAAACACTATAGGTGATGTGGGTATCCTGGTTCAATATAATAATAATAAAGACTGCAGTCTTCTCCACCTTTCTTTCGCTTTCCCTATAATGGCTTTGTCATCAACAGTTGGGTTGATATTAAACGTGTAAAAGTATTCCAAGTAAAAGTATTTTCTCAAAAATATACTTCGTTACACCCCCATTACTCGAAAATAATGCTCAAATACAGTAACGAAATAAATTTACTTCGTTACTTGCCACCCCTGGTGGCAGCAATAAGAGAGATACAAAAAGTGCAAATATTAGAAATATACGTCGTCAGGCTGGCTACGCTACCGGTTATAAAAACTTTATTCTGTAATCTTTACAAGCCTTCGGCCAATAGACTATGAAAATATCGGCCAAGCAACTGGAGTCGATATTTTATTGTTTTCTCAAGAAAAAAATTGAGAGAACTGTTTTCATGACCACTTTCAATATGTGTATTTTGAACATTGGCAGGCGTGAATATTTTCAAACATTTGATAGTAAAACTTGTAGCCCATGGGCGTCGTGTTTTAGCAGGCCAGCACAAGGTCATATCTATTTTTTCAGTAAAAAAATTCCCTACTGGCTGATTGCAACGTGCTGTACTGAGTCGGCAAACCAACATCATTATTCGTCACGAATTTCCTTGCACCCCTTTTAACAACCGAGACCTGGCATTGCGCATCTTAAGGTGGTCTTAGACAGAACATTTTTTTCTTGAATTTTCAAAAATATAAGGATCTTTTTCCATGCAGACCACCCAAAAATGATAACTTACGAAATATTTATGAAAAAACTTGGGCAGCTGTATTAGTAATTGTAAGATTAAAATCAATTAACAAACGAACGAATATATTGTTTTCTTCATATTTTATAACGTTTAACCCCAGTATATGATTCCTCATTCAACAACATTCTTTCTAGAGCATAATATTATGCGTTGTCTGTCTAATATTCTGTTTATTACTATGCTATTATTATTTATCATAATATTTCCAATATTTCCACTTAATATTATAATGAGCCTTTAGGTATTTCTTTATATATCGTTTATTATCTTGTTTTTGGTATTTTCTCCATTTGTAAACGTTGATTTTAAACATGCAATGTCATATTTCAGTTTCTTTTGTCTTCATTTGTCCATTTTGATTTTCGGTGACCTCTTCATCTCTGTTTCTGTTTATGTTCTCTTCCGGTTTTAAGGTAGTTTCTTTATCTTTGCTTGTGAAAATGTTTTCATCTCGTTTTGGAGTCATTTCCTCATCCCTCTCAGTGGGCACTTGTGCATCTTTTTTTACGGCTATTACGGCTTCTTCAGACGGCTTCACGATTTCTTCCTTAGTGGGGTTTGTTTCATCTCTCTTCGTAGTTGTTTTTTCTTCTTGCGCATGCTTTTCTGTTACTTCAAGATCTTTGTTTGTTTTTATTTCTTCTACTTCGTGATTGGTTGTTATTTCTCCCGTTTTTCTTTCGTTTGATTCCTCTAATTGTGCTGCGATGATGTCGTCATCTTTCTTCCCCGCTTTTTTCTCATCTTGCATTGTGGTTATACTTTTAACTTTTTCAGCGATGACTTCCCCCTTTTGCTTTGTGGCTGTTTCTATATCCTGCTTTGTAGTTGTTTTTTCATCATGCTTTATGGCTAATTCTTGATCTTGCTTTTTCGTCAAGTTATCTTCTTTCTCTATGCATGTGATTTCCGTATCTTGCTTTGTGGTATTTTCTCCATCTTGCTTTGAAATGATTTCTTCATCTTCCTTTTTTTCAGTATTTTTTTCATCGCTCTTCGAGGGTGTTTCTTCTTTTTCTGTGGTCATTTCATCATTTTGCTCTGAAGTTATGTTGAGCACTACATATTTCCCATCGACCTCTTTGTCATCTTCTACCTCATCATCCTTGTTGGTATACATATCAACAAGTTCCTCCATACCTTTGTTTTCAAAAGCCTCTTTAGTATTGGATCTTTTCAAAGTTCGATTTTGATAAACACAGCAGGCGACAGTGATGAGAAGTGCCACTACAAGGATCGCCAATGCTAGGATAACCGCAATATAAGTTATATTTTGCTCTTGACCTGATTTTTCACCTGAAAATAAAATTAATGAAATGTATTGGATGTTTTGGGTTCATCGTTGACAACGTTCAACTTCTTCATACGTGCTGTTTTCATGCTAATAAAGGTATATACGCACACTGGACACAATTCGCCAACACGACGCGAATTTTCAGCGTTCAGAAGCAAATAGTCAATTCAATTATAGAAGGGAGTCTCAAAATCTGTGGACACTAGACAAATTAAGATTACTACCGTTCAGCAATTACCAAGATTATCATAACTTGATCAAACTTAGTTGCTCTTGAAAACTCAAAAATTCATAAAAATCGTGCTGCGTTGTCGAATCATGCACTCCGTACGTGTCTCTCTTTCTAAGCTTAAATGCAAGTAAACAAACCTCTTTTGAAAGTGATGGCATTTTCACCTGTCTGTGTTGGTGATAGTTGAGAACCTGGGATAAAACAAATGAGTTTGAGGGTAAATGAGTTTTTAGAATACTGGCTTAAGTCTATTCAATATTTGCCCCGAGCTGGGCGATGGTACTATAATTTCGAACCGAGAATTTCAAACTTTTTCGAAATATTTATTATTAATTTCTTAAATTTGTGTAAAATATACAGAAATATTTGTTTGTTTCAAGTGTGTCGAAAGAGAAGTATTACTTTGAAAAGCATAAGCTTTTTTCTAACCTGGACACGAATCATCAAAATGCTGTTAACATAATCTACGCCTTGTGTTCGCGTCAAGATGAATGCTATTGCACTAAAAGTTTTTCATATCACATTTCTTATCAAAGAATTTACTGTTGCAATGTTCACAATTCAGTTGCATTTGGCAGTTGCTTTACTATGATCGGCACTCCAATATAAAAAGAGATGATCCAGGCTATTAGCTAATGCTTAACGATAATTATATAAAATACTATCTAACCCCCTTTGGTCAAAAACCACCAATGCGACCAAAGGAGTTAAAACAGAGAGATATTTAAAAAGAAATTTTGAAAAGAATCATATAGTGCAAAATATAAATGTAAAATGTATACATTTTATTAAACAAACTTCAAATTAAGCGACTGATAAAACGGCCTGCTAATTCACTATCCAAATTTTGATATTTAAAATTCGTCTTTATCTTAACGCATAAATGGTATGTTTACTCGAGACTTGCAATTTGCACTTCCACGTTATATATATATATATATATATAATATTATATATATATATATATATATATATATATATATATATATATATATATATATATATACAGCCGTTATCAAAAAGGTTGTCCCCATCAATATATATAGACATATATAAATATCAATCACGTGACCATTAAACACGGCTTATTTTGATATTTTGATAATATTGTTTCTTTATTATTACAATATTTTTCACCTTACTATGACATTTAAGAAATTTTCACGATAAATTTCCAACGATTTCTCATAAAATTAACGTATGTAGTAAAATCACCTATATATATATATATATATATATATATATATAT